GTCAATACATATTTTTTCACGGATTTAATACTAACTTTTTAATTTTAATTTTCGTTATTATTTTAATAGTAGTATACAAACTGAACTCATATAAATAAAAACCAGTCATCGACCTTCGGGTACAGTAGCGCTACTGTACCCGGACTCTTGATACATGTTTTTCTTTTTTATCTACAGTATACTACTAATATTGGAGATAAAAAAAAAATTCTTGTGTTAACCAATACTAGTACGTCACTATGATTAACAGTAATAAACGCAATATTCAAATGTACTTGGTTATATTTTTTCATGTATAATAAATATTAAGACAAACATTTTCTTATTGATAAATTGATAAATCTCATTTGATGGAATCTAAGGTTAAACCTTTAATAAGTCATTCATAAAAGTGTTAACACTAATGAATTAGAAAATAATAAAAAAGTATTAGTTATTACTTTTTAAATGGTTGTACCAAACTATAAGTACGTTTGTAATAAAGTGCGCATTATATCGATATCGATAAAGACAAATTTCAAGTTAAGCACCACCATAGTGGGCCTTACTACGGCCACAAAAAAAGTGTAAAGGCTTTTCAAGAATTTCACGACGAAAAAAAGAAAGAAACGCGATAATGCCTCGTAATGAATATTTAATTATTGTTTTCGTTTTTGAACATTTTTGTCGTAAATATTGCCTAATTAATTCATTGCTTTACACAATTTTTCACTTATTTCTTGCGCCGCGGAATTATATTCATTATCTATTTTTTTTTCACAAAGCTTGACTTGATTTTGAAAATTTTAGGCAATGTCATCTAAAGTTGGTTTTTACTCAAGTGACTTTATGAAATGAAAAGAGTTTCTCTTAAAAAAGGATTTGCACTTTACTGGCGACACGTGTTAACCCACTGACAGTAAGCCATAATTAAAATACGAGACAATGCCGTGCAGCTTCTGACCTGCTTATTATGACGTATGAACCGCAAGATTGTAAACATTTATAATCTTACAAGAGTTATAATAATATTAGGAGATAGATTATTGACTGACAAAGTTTTTATATTTACGGTGACATATTCAAATAAAAACGTTGCATGAAAATGAAGTTTTATTTGTTGTAAGCAAAAAGTTACAATGGTTTTACTAAATTCAATGCTACTATTCTATAAAAACTAAATAATATTAGAAAAGTGGTATAAAATAATTCTATTTTGTAATATTGCATGTCAGCATCATGCAAAATAATTTAAAATGAAAGAGTAAATTTAATTTTATAAACTGTTGCAGCGCTATTTAAATTTTATTAACATCCTCTAGACGAGGTTTTGTTTACCTTGTTAATGTTATATGGAATATAAGTTTGAAAATTCTCTATTATGGAACATTCTACTACAGATATTAAAGCGTTACATTTCAGTAAATTTTCCTTTCATTGAAACTCCATGCTATCACAGCGCTACGTTCGATGTCGAGTTCAAAGCTGTTTTAATAAGGGAATAGCTATCCAGGTCAATTTCTTTTTTCAAAGTATAAATCAAAGTCGCTTTCTCTGTCCCTATACCCTATGTATGCTTAAATATTTAAAACTACGCAACGGATATTGATGCGGTTTTATTTCATAAGTAGGGTGATTCAAAAGGAAGGTTTTTATGTATAATTCAAGATCACGCGGACGAAGCCGTTGGCGGAAAGCTAGTCATTAATAAGGGGCCCTGAGAGCGTTAATAAATACATTGCTATTCAAATTTTTACGATCAAAGAACATCTATATTCTAATAATATAACCCGTATTGATAGAATGTTTGCTTTGAAACTAAATTAAAAGAGCCAGCTACAGAAAACTACGTCATACGCGGATGACATAGCCTATTGAGTACATGAGAGTACATAGCCTATATTTAAGAGATTTAGATTTAAGCGAAGATGCGATAATAGCATGCAATTATTGAATAATTGAAAAAAAAAATGGTAATATTATCGCAAAATCCTATTTTTACACGACTGCCAAAAAAAGTTATAAGTATTATAACTCTCTGGTAGTCGGGAGATTTTTGCTTGGCCAAATCATAATACAACTTGACCTTTATATTTTTAGTTCGATTTTTAGACGTGTTTTTTTAAATATATTTAAATTATTTTCATAAATTGAAAGACTCGTACAACGAAATTAATTAAACTTACGTAAACAAATTTAGACACGGTTTCTGAAGTATTATTAAAATCATACGAAGTTTCTCCATGCCACTGCAATCTGCTTGAAGTTAAGACGCAATTTGCGGCGCAAGAGTTAGGGACTAATTAAATTGTTTACAACAACTTTGAATAGTTCATAGTTCCGATACCGACATTGTTTGAGAAATGCGCAATCAATGATTTACCTTCACTTTGATTTTGATTATTAACGACTTCAAAGAAAGCTGATACGAGAGAATGTACACTAGGCGAATGACTAGCTAATTGTGGTGACCGCTGAAGAGAAGTTTAGATAAAATTTAAATATTCGAATGCAACTGAAAAACTTAAAAAATAGTTTTTTTTTTTAAGATTGTAATTCATGCTTTTAAGTGATATAATATGATAGTACTAAAATTATTTTTCAGGAAAAAGCTTCAAAATTTGTTCAGCCAAACGCGAGACAATCGCGGAAAATATATACAATACGTGTCCATTTTTAGTCTACCTAAAACTTTCTCCTAGGTCTGAAAAATACTATGTTGAAGACCGCATTAAAATCGGTTCAGCAAAACGCGAGATAATCGCGCACAAACACATACGTATATACAGGTCAAACGCCAAACCTCTTTTTTTGAAGTCTATTAAAAATGTTTGAATTTTTGTAGTAATTTTCTAAAAGACGACGGTTCGATATTTAAATTTCATATCTGATTCATGTTGGGTTAGATTTAAAGCTACTTCTATTTCACTTTATTTTGTTTATCTATGATTGATTTTTTTTGCAACAAAAAATGGTTTCCAAAACTTCTTGACCAACTTTAAAAATTCTTCCACTTACTAGAAGCTACATAATACGTAGTGGACATCAACTTTATTTTATCCCAAAAAACTGCAACTAAAGGTACAAAATGAGACTTTGTATAGGTAATTAAAATGTTACCATAGTAACCATTGCTTAGTATTTAATTTGTCATTGTAATTATATCCGATCGATCGATATAAAAATCATTATAATATTATAGAAAGTGTTTACAGAGAAGTAAATAATCTTACCAATATTTATCCCGTTAAACAGTTTCCTAGGGTTAAAAATACAATAAAAAAAAATTACAACATATCCAAATCCAATAGTGACAAATTGAAGGGCCAATTCCTGTTTGTTCATCAGTAAAACTGTTGAGTCCCCTCGGAGTGATCAATAATATGAGCAGCTCATGTTTTTATAGTGACTACACATGAAAAACCAATATACGCTACATATCAGAGTTACTACAAGTAAAGTAGAGATTAAAATTTGTAGTTTTCTGCTTTATTAAAGCTGTGACATGTTCGTTGCTTAGGTAAATAAAAAGCTGACTAAGTTTGATAATTTGATATATTTTATAATGTAAATAAAATAAAAAAAAACTGTAACAACAAACAAAAAGAATATACAAAAACAGTTACATAGTATGGATTTCTAAAATTATAATAATGAAGTAGTTAGGTAAAACAGTTACATACCTGTTCCTCAGATTGTAAATACATTTATCTTTCCTGATTTATTATATCTTTAGTGATTTAACAGAACTACTAACACTGAATGAATTTTCACGAACTGACATTCAGAAAGAGCATATCGCGTTACTCAAAATTTCAGATTACGAAAAGTGAATAATTTAAAAATAAATATTATTAAAGATCACAACAGGCAAAAAGTTTGGATGCGGGAACCTAGGATGAAATAAACGGTTTGGTACGATGCACCGTTACAACTTTTAATGAAATACTAAGCACATTTTAAAGTAATCTTATAACTTCAAGAGATTATTTAATATCTTTTACCTGTATGGTTAATAACGTAAGAGTAGGTAATCATTATTGATAAGATTCCTACTGTATACATACCTTATTTTGTACGAGTCATTCATCTTTCAGCTTTATTTAAAGTGATCACGGAGTTCATCGCTTAACTTGTACACAAATGGTATACCTACTTAATAAAAGTTTTAAAAAGAAAAATAAATTATTGAAATTAAAAAATATAATAAATGTGTAGGGTATTTGAATGTTGATATTGATCGAGATAAACTAGTAAGCATCACGTAAATTACTTATGTTGTTGAAGTAAACTCATAATGATATCAAAATATTATGTCTGGAAATATTAAGCACAAAATAACAATTCAAATCATATAAAATAAAAGAACAACAGTTGTAACAGCGAAGTATCAGTAAAAAAGGTACATAAAGTCAAACAAAATGCTCAAAATACAAGTGACAACCATTGAGCGAGAAGTGAGAGAAGAAAATATAAAAGCAGTCTAAACTTTTGACAGAAAATGGGATTTTAATTGAGCTTTGAAGGAGTTTAAAGATTTCGCCCGTCTGATAGATTCAGGAGAGTTGCACAATTTTATTGCTTGTACTGTAAAACTAAAGAATTTAGTGAGACTGGGAACAATTAACAATCAAAAGTTGTTCGAAGAGCGAAGAGATACATCATGCGTAGACGAGAGAAATTTAAACCATGATCTGAGATATGGGGGTATAATGGGATTGGACAGTATAAATTAGAAGCGAGAGCATTACACATTACACTGGGAGCTGGCAAAAAGAGTTACATCATCATAATATATTTGCTCTGGACCTTATTTTATTAAACAGTTTAATTCCAACTCTGACGTGAGCAATATTTTTATATTCATGATTTTTCGCCAACTCTCCTCATTGCAGTGATAGGTTAGGTTTAAATGTTTTTTAAAATCACTGATTATACCTTATATAACGATTCCAAAATTAATACTGAATGTGTTAAATAAATATAGAAAGCGTTTCGGCATCCCTGAGCTTACTGGCATATCAGGCAAATGCTCGAGCCAGTCGCAGCATGCAATCAGTCAAATATTTGCCGTTAGATTCTGTAGTATCCAACTGTTTATCGACACTGCATATTCCGGTCGAGTGAGCAAAGGTAATGTTTACCGTTGCGTCTAGTCAACGTTTGTGTTCCCATGCGCAAATACTACAATATCACTTGAATTATATCTGCAACGACGGCCACGCTTCCTGTTTTGATCTGGATATTTATTATACATTATATTCCCATTTTCTACAGTAATGTTAAAAGAGGTCGATATATTCTGATTGCGAATGCGCAGGTGAAGCAATTTCCGCAAATGCCATAGTAATTGGATAGATGACCTAAAATCTCGACAGGGCTTTGAAAGGCTAAAGATGACGCACGACGACGAATACGTTAGGAAATTGTTCGCGCCTGCGTTTGCATATATTAATCAATACGCCTATCAATACGCACTAGGCTCACGTGATGAGTTATGGCGTATGTGTGTTTTATTCATAGCTGAAGTTAGATGCTACCAAGTCAACAAACTCAACAGTTGATGACGTCAAGGTTTTGTATAATTTAATTTAATTTATCTAATGATGTTAACTTTCTTATATGTGGGATGTATGTTTTTACTCGTAGGATACCACGATTTCTATAAATAAATCTTAATAATTAAGTAAGTATTTTGTATATTTAATTAATGAAGAGGAGTATTATAAAAAGATTATTATATTTATTCAATTTAGCATTCACAATGCTATACTGAAAAATATTCTTTCAAATACTTGCTACTTTTTCGATACTACAGAGGATATTTTCATCAATGTTCAGACCCTGTAGTAGCGAAAAATATAGTAGTGCTTGAAAAATTTTTTAGTCCTCCTAGGTAAATTAGTGGAGTAGCTCGGTGGCGTGGTGGATAAGCGCCGCGGCCTGCGATCGCTGTCGCTAAGCAACTTTCGCAAGGTCGGTCACGGGATGGGCGACCAAAAAATTATTACCTCGAGCTACTCCGTGCTTCGGAAGGCACGTTAAGCCGTTGGTCCTGGCTGCATTTGCAGTCTTTAATATCTTCCAATCCGCGTTGGGCCAGCGTGGAGGGTCATGGCCTATCCTCCTTAACCATCCATAAGGAAGGCCCTGCAGGGGTATGTAAAAGGGCTGATGATGATGAGGTAAATTAGTGGTTAAGAGCAGTTACCCGGATGACGAAAGGTCATGGGTTCGAGTCCCATCTCTGCCAGGGACAAAGTGGATTTTTAAGCATTTTTCATTAAGACTATATTCTAAAAAGATATTTCGATTAGTGAAGCAGCAGTGGATTATTGTTTTACTGGAGTCTAATATGCTGGTATCTGCTCTTCGTATCACCTACATGTCCGGTAAATTAAAATTTCTCATACAGTCATCCGTCAAATTAAGTGAAATTGTATATCCTTTTTTACTTTCAAAAAGAACCTGTTCAGGAACAAGTCAATTTCCATGATTACAAAATGTTTTGCATGCATTCTTACATCGGTTGTCACTAAATTGAGATATTTGTCATCTTTATTTGATTTGAAATCTTATTTAAAGTCAACGCGCTAATGGAGTCCTCGATTCGTTTATTTGTCCAACAACAAGTGTTCTTTTACGAATCATTAATATTTCACCACAAATATCCAAATGTAGAACAAAAACTTTTATTTAGTCTGCAAAGCCAGATACTAGTTTCACCTCGAAAGTTGTGAGGGAATTGCAGTGCAAGTAGCTCGCAGCAAATATTTGAATTGTAGAGTGGTATTGGTTTGCTTACAACGCATACAGATGTACTGTTCACACAGAGAAATAAAAATTGCTTGCGCTATCTAGATTTTGCCGTATCGGAAAATAAACTGTAAAAACTTTGATCAAGTCAAAGTAAATAAATTAGTCGTGGGTAAACATTTGAATGTAAAGCACACGCAAAGATTTCACAGTTTCATATATAAGGTAACATATGATAAGATAAGATAAGATCTTTATTTACCTGGATACAAGTCATTAAGTTCACAAATAATCAGATAAGTGCAGTATTCTACCTGCGGATAGGCGAGCAAATATTGTTGTAATTTTATTCAACTTATTACATTACATGTTATCACTATGTAGTTACTAACAATCCGTTCGAGATTTATATATATATACATAATCATCGATAATATTCAACACCATTCTTCATTTATTATAAACAAAACTATAACGTTAGTTTGTGATAGCTAAAACCATCCTTTTAAATTACTCAGCCCATTAATCAATTATAATCGAAAATGGATTGAATTAGCACCTTGGGACTTATACCTTGTTATCCACTATATAAGATCCATAGTTGGCAAATTTCGGCTCAAAAAGAAGTTTAAACTTCATAACCTTTTTTAATTAAAGAGTCCTCGATCACGATGTGCTATTCATTAAACTAGGAGTAATGTTGAAACATGAATCTATTGAATGTTTATTTCGGCTTATGTTGAGTGCATGTGTCTGTGTCGAGTGCGCGGTTCCATTTATTGGAATTGACGAGAGCTTTTCGACAGCTACATCGTATTTCCTATCAATTTTAATTTAAGCACATACGTATTACAGAACATAATTATTGTTTATTATAGAAACATAATTACCTGCATAATAAATTAATAACTTTTAAACGGGATGAGTATTTGTTATTTAAAACAGATAGAGAGAGAAAGGGACTTATGATTTCTCTTCGTTATACTCTAATTTATTTTTCGACAATCGAGAGTGTTATTGGAACGAATTTCAACTGTTCTGCTAACGATATCAAATATCGAGTTCTATTTCCCAGACGATTTGCTGAGGTAACCGCCACTAGTGAAGCTTCACTTCATGGGATTCATTTCTATCAATTTCAGTTCCATTCCAGTCGACATTATTTGACACATCATATTGAAATAGACAACATTCACACGAAAATATTCATTATGAAACTGTTTGTAAAATAAAGAGGTTGTTAAAGCACAAACTGAAAACATTCTCGCTAAAAAACAATTATTAATTTATAACTTTGTATTCTTGCGAGACGAAATAAAGATATGACATGCTTTGTTTTCGATATAGAATATAATTAGCACTTGGAATGATACACTGTTAAAAAACAAATTATTGCTTTAAATCTAAATCATTTGCGTTCGTTTTCTGCTTTTATAATGCCCAAAAAATATCAACAGTGTTTTACATCGCAGCGTTAACTAACAGCTACTGCAAATTTTCACCAGGAACAAAGCTATTAAAGTCTATATTAAGTTTTACTGCTCATAAGTTAGTTCTTGTAATCGTAATTAATATACATTAATTTTCTAATTATATTACACTTTTTACGCATATTGTTTAGGATACGTACTTTGTGTATGAGTAGCAATATGTACTTCTTAATTTATTTCTTTTTTAATTCTATTAGTTTTGTGCAAAAATACGGGCATTAGTTTTTCAATGACCCTAAACTTTGATTTCAAGCAGTTCATCGGTCTATGCATAACTTACCTTTGGCTCCATCTCTGGTGCCCAGCACGGAGGCTATTTGTGGCCTCTCTTCGTTTATGACGAGCTCGGCTTGCTCGTTGTACACACTATGCACCGTCGAGATACAGGTCAGCCGCAGCTGGCCTCTCTCGAATGAGTCCGGTCGGACCATGAAGGATAACTGGCTTATTGACGCCACCTGGTAAAAAAATATATTATGTTAAAGAGAGTTAAGCTATCAGTCGTGTAGATAAAGTTGTAGATAAAAATAAATGTGTTTGTAACTTTTAACACGGGAACGTCTAGTCTATCCGATAGTACCTGAAATTCTACTCTGTTTCAAACGAAAGTTTTTCTATTTTCGAAAAGCATATATGACCTATTTGTCGATTATTTATGATACAACAGAGGTAGAACCTGACAATGTATCTGATTCTTAGATATGGTTTGAACAAAATTATAATAACAAAATAATTTGGGACACTCGTGAACGTCCTGAGTGCCCCAAATTATTTTGTCAATCTGACATTTTCATTCTAATTATTTTCTATTTTCTAGATGCATATAAAAAATTGAGCAGTCTAGTCCATTAAGTCTATATTGCCAAAAGATGCCTCTGGGGTCGATTTTAGTTCATCGATTATAATAGGTTTTTTTTTTTTTATTTACCTTACAATTTTAAACATAGTTACACTTTTTAAGTTTTTTTACAGCATTTATAAACCACGAAGGTTTGTGCCAATGCTGTTTATATATATGTACAAATTAATTAGGTTTACAACAATTTACACTTAACACAGACACGATGTGCCTCCATTTCTCAATTCTATTTCATGCTAGGTTGTTTAAAAAGTATGTTTTAAGCTTTGTTTTAATATTTGCTAATGTAATATTTTTTCTTTAAGGTATAACGTTGTATGAAATTAATGAGTAGTACCTACACATTTTATCTATATCAGAATTTTAATTCTTATTAGTAGAAATTAGTTATATTGGTGGAAAGTTATTTTGATAAAAACGAGAGAGTTAAAATTATTAAAGCCCTTTGAATACAAAATATATTGTTAATTAGAAATAAAAATTTTGATAGACTTCAAATATCCATTTTTTTACATTTTTTTTAGTTAAATTTTTAATTAAACGCTTTCACGTAGACTACAAAATAAAAAAAGGGTGATGCCAAAAAGATTGACATTTCATTCCACCCAACAATGCATAACAGGATAGTGCGAAGGGCACGACCGCAATTCCTGACATTTAAAAAAATATAGCATGGAAGAATTCAATATATTGACATATACTAAAATTGAAACTAAAGATGAAAGTACACGTGTCAGCACGCACGCACCGGCCGCACGACACGCAACGGATTATATTAAAAATTCTTATTACGTAATCAGCATAATTCCGACGTCAAAATTGACAGTCGCATTTTTATAGAACCATATATGAAATAAGCGACTGCAGTGGCATCGTATGACATCGACAAATCTGGGCAATACGTTGCGTGTCGTTTGGCCGGTGCGTGCATGCTGAGAGAGTGGACGAGCATCTTAAAGGACATTATGATGCTTTGTTTGTTCAGAACAAACAAAGCAACTAACACCCACGTTGAGCGAAGGTATGGATAAAAAATTATAATGAGTCTTTTTTCAAAAACTATACGATGTAAAATAAACGGACGCCTCTGTTTCTCGGCGGAGCTACTTGATTCATTATGATTTAAGAAAAAGAATAAGTCCAATAAGAAAAGGAAATACGAGAATAGCCCGTTTAGCACTTTCATCGTTCGCTATTTATACTCAGTTCTGAAACGTTACGTGCAATGCTCGGAACGTTTTGTAAAAGGAAAATATTGAGAAAGCGGGATCATGGCACAATCCAGTACTGGTCGATGATGAAACGTAGTTGATGTCGTCTTGTATTATTAATGCAGTGTTTTTTGTCTGGCGCATTTCTTTACGGTTACTATGATATGTTGTAATAAGAAAAATTCCTAACTATAAAAATGGTAGCCTTATTTTTCACCTTCCATTATTATTTCGCATATCAACAATTCTATATTTATCTAAAGAAAGATTTAATTAAAAGAAAGATTAAACCTTTTTTATAATATTTAATATAAACCCCAAATCGACTATAAAATATCGATAGTACCTACCAACAACAAAAAGATATTACGAAAAAAAAAATCTTTATGAAAACAAATCAACCAAATTGAAATGTCTTCTCTAAACGAAACAGATTTAAGTCTAGGATTAATTTATTATTTTCTCGACTTTCTATTAAGTTTATAAATAAATAAATATATATTTATTAGTCAGCCTTCGCATTAACGGAATAACGCTGAGAGTACTTAGAAAAGAAAATATAAAGAACGAGCTGCGAACGAATCAATAATGAATTCGATTAAAGATTTTTTAATAATTTTTTAATCCGACCAAAACTGTAGAGTGAGTTTCAAAATTCGCTTAATGGGCATTAGGTGTTTCCATATTTGTTTTATTGAAATAGAATTAGCTGTTTTTTAAAGTAAATTAACTGGAAGGTATCTGCTAATATACAAAAATACTTCTTTAATATATTTACATCATCAAACGACAATATCGAGTATTTTGCTTTCCTTAATGATTTTTATTAAGTCTAATATTTTTCAGACCATGAGAAAAGAAAAATAAACCTAGTTTTAAATGTGGAAATTATAACTCATCTTAAAGGCGGTTTATGAAAAGTGTATTCGGGTGGTTAATATGAACAAACTATAAAAAATCTCCACCTAATGTAATAGAATTTTCATACACATATAATATGAACTGACATTAAATAAGTATTAGTCTTAAAGAAAAATGCAAAAATGTATTGCCAATCCTAAGGGCATGCTTTTTTAGATATTTTTATTATTAAATATGTAATGAACTTTGGTAGGTCATTGTTTTCTTTTATTTTTCTTATTAGTTGAAATGATACCTTATTCGATGTCATCGTGGTGGGGATCGGATCTGTGACGTCATCCTCCAGCGGTGTAAACTGTTGCCTTGGAGTTGGAAGCACCACAGAGTCTTGGCTCGGTAGTAGCTCGCCATCCTGTGGTAAAATAAATTAATATGCATTTTTTTATTTATTTTTATTTATTTATTCATGTATTAAAAACATTACAGAAGGTACATTTGTTATTTTCGCCAAACTGCATAGCAGTTTGTTGGCGAAGATTAGCACTCATTTTCTTGTACATTTATATATCTACCCACAACTACAAACATTTGCAAAGATAGAAAATACCAATTAGGGACTTAAAATGACATTACATTTACTGTACTGTTAACTAGTTATTCAGAAAGACATCTTTTAATTTTCTTTAAATAATAGGTCTACATAACTCTTAACAAGCTTATTTTATTACATAATTCCGGAACGACATACTTTGAACATCTTTTACCATAGTAATTAATTATAAACGGTTTAACAAACTTATTTTCTCTAATTATTTTTGTATTATATCTATTTTTAACTTTAACTTTAAATTTGTCACTATAATAATTTTCTATTGATATCATATATTTTACTTTATCTTCTACTGGTAATATTCTACAGAAAGGGAACAACCTATCGTAATTTTTGTTACATTTCTTTTTAATTCTTTTGCTAACTAAATATTTAAGTAATCTTAGTTGTAAAATTTTAATATCCTTCAAATAAGTAGCGAATGTACGGCCATATACGTTTAAACCGTAACTTATAATGCAGTCCGCTAAAGCCTTATATATTCAGTGCATAACTTTTTTATTTACGACGTAATTCAATTCATAAAATTTACTCAATATGGATCGCAATCTAACACAAACTTGATCCATCTGTGATTTTCAATTAAAATGTCTATCTACTGAGATTCCTAAATATTTGAAGGTTTCAACTAACTCTATTTTAGCACATTAACATGGCGACTTACTAACAAATGAACCGAATTTTAAACGGTATCATCGCGTTTGTATTTTTATTTCATTGAAGTTTCGAACATTTTACAGGTTCCGTGTTCACATAAGAGTTAATTGTTTTTCTCAATTAAGGGTATAGCTACCTTCAAAACAGTGCTATTGTACTTTAAAATTGTTTCATTTATGAATAATGCGTGTGAAAACAATAAATTTGTAATCTGAATTAATTTACATAATTTTTACGAAAATCATTTTATGTTATACTAGTGGCCGCCAGCGACTTCGTCCGTGTTTTCCATTATTTCTTCGCTCCTAATAGTTGCAGCGTTATGTTATATAGCCTAAAACCTTCCTCGATAAATGGTCTATTCAACACATAAATAATTTTTCAATTCAACCACTAGTTCCTGAGTTTAGCGCGTTAAAACAAACAAACTCTTCAGCTTTATAATATTAGTATAGATATTCATTTTTTTACTATTTTGTATGGCATTTGGTGCTATCGGTATATCTTTTTATATTGCAATGTAACTGATGTGAACAAGGAAACAATTTAGATAGATTAAAATTTAATAAAATATGTAACACGAGGATCTCGATCGCGCAGTGATTAGCTAATTTAAACAACTTTCACAAGGGCCGGTTATAGGATGGGTGACCGAAACTTTACTATCTCGAACTCCCCCATACCTCGGAAGGTATGGTAAGCATTTAGTCCCGTTTGAATCTGTAGTGATTAACATCCACCAACCTCCACTGAGCAGAAGTGGTGAGTCAAGGCCCATTTAATTCGATATCATCCATAGAGAATGAGAATGCCTGGCAGTGGGAACATTCATAGGATGGTGAAGTATATTATATTGCCGGCTGCATTTGCAGTCGTTAATACCCTCCAATCCGCACTGGGCCAGCGTGGAGGGTCATGGCCATCCTCCTTAACCATCCATAAGGAAGTGATGAGCCCCTTCAGTGGGGACGTAAAAAGGCTGGTGATGATGATGATGATGAATTATTATTAACAATCTGAAACTACAAAGAAAAGACTTCCCCTATCTCCTATTAAAAATGCAAAGTAAAGGCAGTTAAGTTACATTGTCAGTACGTCACGTTACACCGCCATCGACTACTATAAATGAGCCATAAAACTAATGAAAACATTTTTGAACCATTATCGTATGTAACTAAAATAAGCAGTTTTTTTGGAATTTAATAAGTTGTACTAATGAGAGATAATGTACAAAGTTTATTAATAAATATTACACGACAAAATCTATTTAATTATAAATAAATTGCTCTGGCTGAGCCGATTTAGCTGATTTTGGTTTTGAAATGTTTTTCGTAGTCCAGGGAAGGTTTAAACAACTTTTAGGTTTTAATAAAATAAAATAAAATAAAACTCTTTATCAGACGACTGTATACAATAATCTTAATAACTTGTGTATATGACAGCAACGTATGCAGACTCCTTTGTTGTATTTTTTTCTTTTCAAACTTGTCACTTTTTAAAATAAAAGGTTTATTGTCAGTTTGTCACATTAAACTTTTGTCCAAGTGTATGGAGTCTTAATCCGTAACAAACGGACCGATTTAAAAAATTTATAAACCTACGGGAAGCTACGTCATATGCGGTGAACACTAGCAAGCGCAATCAAGCACTAGCACCGAAAAACAGCTGATTAAAATGTAACTATTGTTTACTCTTTATTTAATATTCAAACTGTCATTGTAATTATATTCGAGTCATGATATAAAACCTTATCCAAATAAATTAAATTTTAGGCCTGAATTAACATATACTTTTATCCCACTAAATAGTTCCTTAATGACCACAGGCGAAGCCGCTGGCAGAAAGCTAGTCAATTATAAGTTTATAACTTGATTATTAAATTCGAAGATGCTACTGTAGGCTAATTGTGGGGATTCGTAACCCTCAATATTTTAAAGAAAAGATTAACCCGCAATAGTCTTATGTACCGACGAAAAATAATGAATACATTCCGAAATGATTGGCAACCGACATCGCTCGTAAGCAAGCACTCATTACTCAGTGTCAGAGAGCAATTAGTGGGTGATTCTGGAATCCAGATCTTGGGGGTTGTCGGAACAAAAGCAATAAATTACTTTCGAATTTCAATGTAAATCATAAAGTGACAAGTGTTTTTGGTGGTCGAATTTATTTATACAAAGCAGAGTGGATTCATTTTGCAAATTATAGATTTTAGTCTTGAATAATTTATTTGATTAATATCACTCAAGGGGTTAATTTGATTGCGTATTTTGTTAATTTACCGTTTCCTTTTCTGTTTAACATAACTTTTGATTTGTCTAGAGAATTTCAATTGTTATTGATTTTAATTTTAACATTACACATTTAATTCTTGTATGTACTTAACTAATAATTGTCTTCAAAATTTTATTTATAACCACAGTGTCAGATATCATATTGGGTTAGGTGCAAGTATACAAAAACGTTGTTTATGTCTATAATAGATAGACTAGTTAACCACTAATATAAATCTACTAATCTAAGTTTACCATTGATTACGTGATACTATTAATACTAGGTGAGGTGAAGTATATTTATTAGAACATATCCACGTATTAACTATTTCTTTAAATCGCTCAATTTTCGGCCCTAAAGCAAAACACTAGATATCATATTTGCATGTATATGCCATTTTCACCTAGTATTCTCCTACATATCCATAAAACTCGACTTTAACACAACGGAGTAAAGTTTTTACAGTTAGGCAACTGATTAAAAATATTAGGTGTATTAGGTATTTGGATCGATTATTATATATGTATAATACTAGGAACAGGTACACCTAGTTACAAATTTACCTATTATCCAACTCTAGTATTTGGGTAATCTACATGCTATCTTACTTACTTTATGAATTGGATCAGTACAATCAAATAACAGTTCAGCAAATTTTTATATTACTAAGTAGCTCGGTGGCGTAGAGGATAAGCGCCGCGGCCCGCGATCATTGTTGTTAAGCAACTTTCGCAAGGGTCGGTCGGGACAACTTTCGCACGGGATGGGTGACCAAAAAATTATTATCTCGAGCTACTTTGTGCTTCGGAAGGCACGTTAAGTCGTTGATCCCAGTTGCTTTTGCAATCGTTAATACCCTCCAATCCGCATTAGGCCAGCGTGAAGGGTCATGGCCATCCTCCTTAACCATCCATAAGGAATGCCTGAGTGGGGAAGTAAAAAAGGGCTGATTATGATCAAATTTTTATATATGCCGTATCTATAAAAGAATATAACCTTACATTAACGTGCATTTACCTAACATCAAATCTAAATAATTATTGTACATGAAATTCATATTACACGAATCGGCAGCGTACCTCATACTAAACGTTTGTTCCGAATAAATATAATAAGCTTGCAAACTAAAAGCTTCACAAATTCTACTTGAATCGTTGACTGAACAATGCATATGAAAATGTATATTTCACAATTACCCGGTACGGTAGTATAACAAGGTATTTTATTAATTGGATCATTAAATTGAAAATGCCGACCAAAGGCAAACCTTTACTTGTGAGAACAAGTCGTAGTCTAGAGCGAGGGTTCATTGAAAGACTGAAGTTTCGTGTACCATTTATTTCATGATAACAGTCAAAAGCCTTATATTAGAAATCACAAACGTATATATAAATCCTCAATAAAATAATCATATCGCGATTCAAAATGGCAGTGCGACATCTGTTATGCAAAACTGGAATTAATGTATCTATGAATATTTATGTATTAATTATCTTATATTGTAATCGTATATGTAATTCTATTTATTATATTTTATTATTAAGTAGGACATGAACAACTTGGTTTAATATTTCAATAACGATACAACACTTAATACACATAATTCGACACGTATTTAGATAATGTGAAGTATATTTATTTAGTCTACTTAAATATGTTTATAAAAACAGATTTAATGTAAATAAGGCGTGAATTATTTATTAACAATTGGTAAAAACAAAAGAACTATCCTTTTGGCGAATATTTTTTACTTATTTAATCTATTTTAAGGGTAATATTAATCACCTTAATGGCAATATTGTTCGTGCGAGTTCGGTTTGCAACGCGAAAGCAAAGCTACTTTCGCAATGGCCGGTAGAAGGTTGAGTGACCGATTTTTTATTTTTATTTTTTGTTCCTCTATGTTTCGTTAAGATTTTGGTAATGTATACATGCTGTTATTACCAATCCGCAGTGTAGTGAGTAGCTCCATGGCGTAGTGGATAAGCTCCGCGACCCACAATCGCTATTATTAAGCAACTTTCGATAGGGTCGACCTATTATTATTTTATTGAGCTACTCCGTGCTTTGGAAAGCTGCATTTGCAGTCTCATTGGGCCAGAGCGGAGGGTCATGGCTCATCCTTCTTAACCATTCATAATTAACCCAAATAACAACTAAAATAACTAGTGTCCGACCGAATGTTCGGTTTCGGTCGAGTTTCGGCAAAAAAACGA